GTGCCCAAATCGACCCCTGACATGAACCCTTTTTCAGGTGCCTCCCAGAGGGCCCCGCACGTCCCTCTCAACCCTAAACCTTAAACCTTCAACCTTAAACCCTGCACTTGGCAATTTTGCTCCTGGCCTTTCTGCTTCTGCGGCTTCCGTTTATGAACCCCCAAATTCCAAAACCTTTTCGGCCCCACTTTGCAGTAAACCTAAACCATGCGCTCGAAACCCTAAGCCTTGAAGGCCCTCAGCCCCGAAGGTCCTGAGCCCCTCAGCAGAAGGTCGTCAAGGGAGTCATACTGGGACCCTTGAGGATGCACCCCTGGAGAAGGCACTAAGTGAACAAGCTTCAGGTTTTCAACACTCCCGTGTTTACAGGCCGAATCTCGACCTGGTTTTACTTCCCCTCGTGTTCCTGAAGCACCTGACATGGCGGGAAGCTGAGTCTGAGTTCGAAACGACAGGACCATTTTCTGTTTGCTTTCAAAGCCTGGCCAGGACAGACTGAGTGACAAGCTTGTGCCGCAGAAGGCAGTGCAGAAGCACGAGGCCGTTGCTTTTTGTTGCCGGCTTTGCATGCGAGACCTCAATGAGCCTCCGGCAGTGCCTCACCGCGGCGAGAAGACCTGCCGCTCTTGTTGGAATGTTCTTGCTTCGCTCCGTGCCCACGACCTGACTCTCCGTGACCTGAACTCCGACCTCATGCTTGACGATCCGCAACACTCTGCGGCTTTTTTCTGCAGCGTGGCCGCTTTGAGGGAGGAAGTCGGGGGCCCTTTGGCTTTTGACAAAGTCAAGCACCTCCTTATCAAGCAAGTTACACTCGTGGTTCGCGCCAGCCACCAGCATCTTATGAAGAAACCTTGGCGGCCGATGAAATACTGGCTTGACCGCGGATACACAGAGCAGGAGGTGCTGAAGGCGCCGCAGAAGACATGTGGCACGACAGGAACCCGTTTGCACCAAATCCCTTTGGAGAGCTCCTCCGAGAAGAAGGAGAGCGTGCTAGCAGCGAGGATGGTTCAAAAAACCACGGCCGCTGCGGCTTCCAGAAAGCGGAAGCGCGGCGCGCCTCGGCTGGAATGGGCGTCTTGCACTTCACATGTCATGTCAGCTTGCTGAGGTTGAGAACAAGTCCAAGGCTTCTGGCAAGCAAGAGCTGGGCCCCGCCGAGGTTCTCGGCTCTCAGCCTTGCGCTTGACATGTCAGTGTGCTTGGGCAGGTTGAGATCGACCAGCTGAAGGACAGCTGTGTGCCTGAACCTTGTCCGGCCGCACGTATGTTCTCGGTCTCGCAGGTTCCGGAGCTTCAAGAGAAGCTTCGTGTGTTGGGCTTGCCGGCGACGGGGAAGAAGGCCGTTCTGCCAAATCCATATAACATCGGCTGTCCTTCTCCACGCGGGCAGGCTGAGCTCCAAGCTCGTCTCCGTCATGCCTCTGGAGGAGAGGAGGCTGTTCTACTTTTGCTTGACAGACGTCCTGGAATAAAGCGTGCGCTGGACATGTCAGCCTGCTTGGGCAGGTTGATGACGTTGACGTTGATGACGTTGACCGGCTGAAGGACAGCTGCGTGCCTCGACCTTGTCCGGCCCGCACGTGTGTTCTGTGTCGCAGGTTCCGGAGCTCCAGGAGAAGCTTCGTGTTCTGGGCTTACCCTTGAGCGGGAAGAAGGCCGTCCTGCCAAGTCCGTCCGTTCATGCTGCGTGGGGACTGCGCGGGGAGGCTCAGCTCCAAGCTCGTCTCCGTGATGCCTGCGGGCAAGAGGAGGCCATGGGTATCTGTCTTCTCTTTTTTTTTTCGGTTGTTTTTTGTTCTCTCCAGACTTTGTGAAGCAGTAACGACCCCCGGTCTGCCAGGCTCCTGCAAAGAACCGGCTTGCAAGAGAAGCCGGGAGGCAGGCAGGGATCGGACTTTGGGCGATGGCCCTCAACCTGCAACCGTGACCCAAACCCCTAAACCACCGTGCGGGCAGGCTCGAGCTGGGGGCCGGAAAAACGAAGGCTGCGCATCTCTTGGTTTTACTTGGCTAGGCTCAGCCCCAACTCTCAGCCCAAGCCCGTGCCATGTATCCTCAAGGACACGCCCAAAAAAGCATGGAGA